TTGGTTGACGGTAGAGTCGTAAACTCCGAAACAAACTTCACCTTTCAAGGCAAACCTTGCCTATTTTTTTTTCAGTTAAATTGTTGTATCCTCCTCACCCGGTGTGGGTCTTGACAGACAGGGTCAAAGCAGCCCGCCTTCTGGATGAATTGCATTGTGTCTAAAGGGGTGTAAAATACAATACAAATTTGCAACTATTATAACCAAAGACGTGCCCTGACAAACTATTCTGGCATCTAAGAAGTCGTTTAGCCTTTATTTCCTTCCGCGCCACACTGCATACATGTAATATACATCCGCGAAAACAAACGCACAGACGCTCATCAAACACACACACACACACACCCACACGACACACACACACACGAATACACATCCACGTACAAAGACACTTGAGCGTGCCTTAACACACTCACAAACGCTCACACACACACACACACACACACACACATGACAAAAGCAAACACACACACACACGTATACACACACGTACACACACACACACACACACACACACACACGCTGACGCACATACGGGTCAAGACCCTGCTCTGTATTGATTGTGGCAGTCTGCCACCTGTAGTGTTGTCAGACGGATGGCGCTTGTTCAGCTTCCCCGGGGCTATGTAGGCCCTACCTGCCCACATCAAAACAACACTGTCCGTCCTTGACTTGCTTTGCCCTCTGCCTGCATGCTAACTAACTCATTCACGGAAAATTGCGTTCCCAGAAAGCCAAAAACGCTCCCATCAACATAGTTTAGATCATTTAGGAAGCGGGCTTCGACCCTGCCTGTCTTCAGAGCCAGGCCAGGCTAAAAGGGATACACCATCTCAGTTGACAGACCGAGATACACGTAAAATATTAATTATTTCTTCCTCCTCGCGAGCCGAACCAAGATCTACTGCGTGCGGCCGCAGGGAAGCGCACCGCTACACAAGCTACACTCACCAAAGACGCCGCTTCAGAATGAGAGAAAGAAGAAAAATTTACGTACAGTAGGCTACACAAAAGGTGGAACTTTATCTTACACTGACACAGTCACAAACAGCAGCATTTTTCTTTTTAGCTTTTCCAGTATTTGAACATTCTTGGCCCATCTACAATTAAAACAAATAAACAAAGTTGGAATGCTCAAAAAGTTGTTTCAGTTTCATTAACGATATATTTTAAAAAATTATACATTAAATAGCAGCTAGTCTTTTGAGTTTTGAGTCAACCCTTTCTCTTTCACGTAAATAATATTTAGTACTCTAAAAAGTGTTGGTCTTGTTGTAAATAATAACATTTAGGTGTTTTAATAAGTGTTTATAACACCAACGTTAAAAGAAGAATAGAAATTTGCATTTTCCCCCGATCATGTGGCCGATTTTTTTCTTCTATTCCTTGTTGTTGTTGTAGTTGATTTTGTTGTTGTTGTTGTTTTAATAAAAATGAAGTACAAGTACAAGTCGTGTTTTTATCAAAAAGACAATGATCATTGTCACACAAGAAAGATGATCGGTTTAACTCAACATCAGACAGTCATGCTCGGCATGTTCCGCGCGTTCCTGTTGTTGCCATATGTCAATAAGAAGATCCAACGTCTGTTTTTCTGTTGACAATGCACGTTTTGGCAACAGTGAAAACAACGCTTGTAGACCTATTATTGGTGCGGAACATGCCAATAGTGTGACTTTTCTGATCAGATCTTTTTTGAAGGTGGTTGGGGGGTGCTACCAAAGATTCTCCACTACTGTACACACGGTCTTTATTGGTGCTACTGCACTCTGGTAGACCCTTCTTTTTTAAACTCCCCCTTTGCTGTTTCTTGGTCTCTGTCTTGCTTTTTCTTAGCGCCGAATGAGTGTTTTCATGTCTGTGTGTTTTTCTCTTTCCTCAAACAAATTAATTTTTGCTTTTTAGTTATGATCACGCCATCATACCAGTTTGACAATAGTCGTCTGAGCCATCTACAGGGTGCCCACTACGGTTGGGATCGGCCGATCGGGCCCATCGTCCGACTCGATCGCCTCATAAACAAACGTGTTTGTTTTCAGTTTCACTGTGAGTTTCAGGCAATCGAGTCGGGCGATCGGCCCGATCCAGCCTTAGTGGGCACCCCGTAGTCTTTCCAAGCAAGGGAAGGAAATAAAGGGGAAATTTTCGGGGGAGTGGGGGAATGCAGTCATTAGGAATAGTAACAATGACATGTACAAAAGGAACGATGTCTCTCCTCTCTCTCTCTCTCTCTCTCTCTCTCTCTCTCTCTCTCTCTCTCTCTCTCTTTCTCATACACCGTACCCCACCCCTCACCACACACGCGCACTAGCTTCAGCGTGACTCATCCCTATTTCAAGTCATCCAATTACCTTTGCTGCAGTGTTTGTTCAACAATCGACCTACTTCTTCCACGTCATCTCGCTATTAATAGTATCGGTATTGCCTGACGTTTATTTTTAGAAGCAAATATGTACATGTAATGCGTGCATCATTCTCTAAAAAAAAATCCGAGAATCTTGACTTCATCGCAAAGAAGTTATTATTGTAGCCTAAATAAATACATAGGTAGTGTCTACGTTCTCTACCGTTAGAGAACGTGTCGACAAGTTGTCTACGTTCTCTAATGTCTATTGCTTCCAAGCGTGGAATCGAATCCTGGTCCCGGAAGTTTTTTTTATTTTTTTCTCTTCTCCTCCTCCCAACTGAGATCAACAATTTCCCCCCGGACCCCCAATCAGGGCGAATAATAATTGGCAGGGGTCTGGGAGCCTTAGAAGGCCCCCGGACCGGAAACTGAAGAAAAATTGCAATTGAAGAGCTAAAATTGGCCTCTCTGAGCCTAAAATAAAAATAAAAAAAAATTAGACTCACAGACCAAGGAAAGCCACTATTGAACTTTAACCAGGCCTAAATTAGTGAAAGGAAAATATACTTTGTTGGTAAAATCTCCTCTTAGGGACAAAACCAGAATGAGCATACTTAACACTTCATCACTACTTTACATAAAAAACCCACTACAAAGCAACAAATTATAATTATAGGAAAAAACTGTTGGTCAGTCGGGGGGAGGAGAAGAAAATAGAAAAAAATTTCACTGACCGGGATTCGTTCTAACGCTCATAAAACATTTGTAGGACTTCAACCGCAGACACGCTGTCCACTCGGCCCTTAGATCTTCCAACTGCGAAGGGTAGATTCAGCTTCATATTTAGATAATATACAGCACTGTTTCAGGGAAGGCAACGCAACATAGATCAAAATGTAGTGGGTTTTTTTAACAACGAAGAACGTGAGCAGGTCAGAAACATGGGGGGAGGGGGGGTATCAATGAGGCGGCGGACATCGGATCGGCAGATAAGGTCTGGGGGAAACAAAACATTGGCGGAAAATTGGAAGCACTGAACATTAGAGAACGTGGACAGCTTGAATAAGTTCTCTAACGTTAGAGAATGTAGACACTCCCAAATACATAACATATGTAATAACTATTTATAACCTCTTCGCTTCTTCGTCATCTCGCTATAAATAGTATCGGAATTACAACGTGTCTATTTATAGATGGCGTACGTCAGAGACCGTCGTTGCAAGGGAAAACCTACATAATTTCACACTTTTTATGATTCATGTTTATAGATGTTCCACTTGAATTTCACAGCACCCCTGAACATAGAGATTTAATAAACACCATAGATTCATGACTGTATTAGAATTGTTTGATAAGACCCAACCCTGCCCTGATAGAAAACTCCCTCTCTGAGTCAGGGTTCTCGAAGCACACCTGCTTAATACTTATTGAGTGCGTATCACAAACACCATCAGATGTATTTTGGTCCGTGAGTAATTACGTCGGTATTTCTAATTAATTAGAGGGGCCAGAATTATATGGTGTGGTGTGTGTAGTGGTTAGATCCTGCGCACATTATGATAATTTCCACTCGATGCACAGCTGTGAAGTACGATGACGTCACAAGGGTTGAAGAGAGACAAATGGGCGAATAAATAAACGACCTCATTTGCACACTCGCTGCCATGTGATGAGAGGAAATTTTCCTAGTTTTGAAGAGTTTGATGCTCGTGTGGAGAGAATTTGTATCGAGTACATCATGTACACAATGTAGGGCTTAACTGTTGCTAGCTTGGACGTTGTGTCCCTCTTAGTCCATGTTGGCGTTGATTAACAAAACGGGTTGAAAAAGCCCACTTCCTATAGTGTTTGAATAATGCCGATTGGGTGTACGATATCTATTGGTTCCTACTTTTATTTGGCGGGCACTTCCATTGATTAGATCTAGGTGTACATGCTTACGTATTCTGCTTACGAAGCAAGGAAATAAAGAGGGGGCTGAAAAGAAGGAAGGG